GTGACAGAGCTTACATGGCGACGGAGCATGCGCACTCGCGTAAATATATTCAATTTCAGGGAAAAATGATATATTCTCTTATAAAACGGAGAATAAAAATGAAACTCTCAATTAAAAAAATTAATATTTTTAAAACCTTTTTTTTAGTGTAAGAACTATTTAAAAAGCTTGTGTCGTTTTGGAGAAATATTGCAAAATATGACAAAGATAGGTACTCTTTGGGGATTTTTTTTCTAATAAGGGGTTGACAAAAATACAATTTTGTTCAATTAAAAACATTTACCAAATCCTCTTCTGTTACCCTGTATTTTTTCTTTGTAGACTAAATGAACAGTTATTGAGATTTTTTTAATTAAATATCCACAATTTAGGCATTTCAACGACTGTTAAGGCCTTAACTAAACACGTCCTCTCTCGCCCGAGGCTCTCGTGTAACTGACGCGGTGCGCTCGAGACAGTGACTTATATATATATGCAAACACTACAATCTAACTCCTCCAGTACAACAATTTATGCTAAAACAGTACATAGAAAACTGTAACTCTATTCTTGATAAATTTGAAGGTAAAATTTGTTTGATTGGTGATTTTATTTTAGGTACTATTGATTGGAATGCAATACACACGGGTACAGTACATAATCAAAGTTAAAAAATAAATACAACTTTAGTAGACTTTTGTTATACTTCAAATTTTAATCAATATAACTTAATACGTAACAGTAACCAAAGAATTCTCGATCTTGTATTAACTGATTTACCAGTATGTAATGTCACATTAGCTTTAAGTAATCTCTCCGTTGTTGATCCACAACATCCTCCAATAGAAATTGAAATTGTGCTTAATACGAACCGCATACTTAGTAACAATATTAATAATAAGAAAAATAATTACTATAAAGCTAATTATGATGCTATAAATAACTGTTGCGGAAATAAACTGGGAGGAATTGTTTTCCAAATGCCTCACTATAGATGAAATTATGGATAAGTTCCACACCGTACTAAATAATATTATTAAGATTCATGTGCCGTGTACTGAGTTTAAGCAGAGCAAATATCCTCTGTGGGTTAATAAATCACTCCTACGACTGCTTCGAGAAAAGAACAAATTACATCGCAGGTATAAAATAATATATAACAATCCTTTAGATGAGGTAGAATTTAAATTACTTAGCAAACGATGCGAAAAACTGGAACAAAACCTATATAATAATTATATTGAAATTACTGAAAAGACGCTCAACAAAAATCCCAAACACTTTTGGTCGTTTATGAAATCGCGAAAAGAGGGAAGTAATTCTTATCCGAATATTATGACAGATGGGGTTATTTATGAATCCGACGGAACAGCTATATGTAACTTATTTCTTAAATCATTTTCGAAATCATTCGCTATAACAGACTCAAGAACTCAGAATGTAGCCAGTCCAACTTCTACCTATCTCAACTATATAGCACAAAATAGCTTCAGCCTTGGGACTCTTTCGATATCTCGGGAGTCAATACTAAAAAAACTACAATCACTCGATACAAATAAAGGCGCAGGCCCAGATGAAATCCCACCTATTTTTATCAAAAACTGTGCTATAACACTGGCTGTACTTTTAAAATACATTTTTAATTACTCTTTATTGACAGGTGCCTTTCCAAACGTCTGGAAGATAGCCAAAGTAGTTCCAATACATAAATCTGGCGACAAGAACTTAGTATCGAATTATCGACCAATCTCAATTTTGTCGACAATGGCAAAAGTTTTTGAATCTGTTGTTTGCCCCTCAATACAAAGCCATTTACAGCAATACGTCAGCGTACATCAGCATGGTTTTTTAAAATCGAAATGCACTTGCACAAACTTAGTCACATTTGTCGAAGGAATTGCTAAAGCTCTAGATAAACAGGAAGAAGTAGACGTTGTATACACAGACTTCAGCAAGGCCTTCGACAAAATTCCCCAGTTACCTCTTATAGACAAACTTGCTGTCTATGGCTTTACAGGAAATTTTGCCAACTGGATTAATTCATATCTAACGAATAGACGTTTCTTCGTTGTTGCTAAAGGCTATAAGTCTGAAGCTCACAAGATAACTTCAGCAATTCCTCAAGGATCCCATTTGGGGCCAATTATTTTTAACGTATATATCTACGATATGCCCAATAGTTTCCTTTCATCAACGCCCTATCTATTCGCAGATGATTTGAAAATTGCCAGAACTATTAAGTCCTAAGCTGATGTTCTTATGTTACAACATGATATAAATAGGTTATACAATTGGTGCTGTACAAATGGGATGGAATTAAATATAGATAAATGCTTTTTTATTAAATTTACACGCAAACATAGTAAAACTAAATCCAAATATTATATTGATGGTAAACCATTAAAAGAAGTTGATAGAATTAAGGACCTGGGAATAATTCTAGATAACAAATTAACTTTCGTACCACATATTGAAAGCATCTAATATGCTGGGTTTTATTATTAGAAACAGTAAAGTGTTCAAAAACTTACAAACACGTATCACTTTGTACAAAGCACTAGTACGCAGTGTTCTTGAATACTTCCCTGTTGTATGGAGGCCACACTATGCCACGCACATATTAAGAATAGAACGGGTCCAAAAACGCTTTTTATGGCATTTACCTCACATCTCCAAAGTTTCAAAGAAAAAGTTATCCTATCATGAAAACCTCAAACACTTTAAAATGTCCTCGTTGAATAAAAGAAGGACCCTTTTGGACCTAATATTCATTTATAAAAATTTTAATAATCAAATTGACTGCCCTCAGCTCCTAAACCTTTTTAATTTCAGGATCCCCTTCAGGGCTCCAAGGAAACCCGTTTCTCTATTTATCCGCCATTCCGCAGGACTGTTTTAGGAAAACATTCACCAGTTCCTCGTCTGTGTAACGCATTAAATACGTGGTTTATTAATGATCCCAAGGATGTTTTCTCTCTTAAACTTAACCAGTTTCGTGTACATTTGTTAAAAAAATCCCAGATTAATTACACCTATCTTTTATCTGTTATAACTAGTTTAAAATTAACCTTATATCAATGTAAAAGGTACTTATATCACATGTTAAAATAGCACGCTGTGTTTACCTGTAACTGATTGTGCATTTAGCTCATAATAGTTTATTACAATGTAACTACTTTAAGTTTCTGTAATGTAACAGTCATTGGTAGACCAAATAAATAAATAAATACAGTGTACTAGATTTTTCTAAAGCTGAGCGTGTTGATTAGTGAAGTTTCTACATACCAGTAAACGAATGTTACCAAAGGGGATTGGTATGATTGGTTCCGGTCCTATAGTGGCCAGAGCCGATCTTCTGGCCAGTTTGTCTGCTGTATGGTTGCCTCTGGATCCACTGTGACCCTTTATCCATTGCAGAGTCTCAATGTTGTTTTTACATACCTCATTTAATCGTTGATGGCATTCATACATTAGTTCCGTGTTCACCACATTCATCCTTCCGGCTGGCTGGTTTCATTTAATTGTATCTTGTACTTCTTATCGAATACAAATTGTTTAGGGATCTTATCGTACTTGGCTTGTCAGATATATATAGTAATTCGTTAAAACATTTTCCCCATTAGTTGAATTTCTTTAAATAGATTTGAATTAGTATATAGTCCGTACGAATAAAGAATGGGATTAAAAATGGCGGCTCATCGAGGCCGTACCGTCAACATGCACAGTACCAATAGCGAAAACCCGCTAATAACGGTGCATAGTTATAAAGTTATATTATTTGGTTAATTGGAAATTTTCTATTAATGGGAAATATATATATTATTAATTTTAAATAACTAGCGACCCGCTCTGTTTTCGCTTGGGTGGGATCTATTAACGTGGCGTTGACGTCTGTCCATGCATTTTCACAGAGAGAAAACACTCTCTCTGCTGATGCATTTGAAAGTGGTATCGAAGCTACAGCTAAGGTGTAGTTGGTACGAGATAGATACTAATATCATATAATCACTGATTTCCGGGACAATAGGCATCCCGCAAGGGGTTACGGCGGGAGGGTCCATAAGTGACCCAGAAGCAGGATGTCCCGGAAAATCCGGGACGGTTGGCAAGCCTAGCTGCTGCCCATCTGATTTGTTTCCCCCTATCGCCTCTAACGACACTCACGGGATGATTGGGGAAGTGGATATATTCTTACACAACCACTAAACGGCTTTACCCAGCGCCTTTTTTCAATCCTTTTCTTCAGAGTTAGGGCCAAAACAAGAGATACTACAGCATTTATTTTATATATATCCATGACAACAAGTGTTAACATGGCGGTTTTGATACACGGACTGAAGAAACGATTTTTTAGTAAATACGCTAAAACGGCTGGAGTCCAGCCGCTGGACGCTTAAACCCGAGTCATACTAAACGGATGTATTTTTAGGAAAGTTGTATGAAACCAAACTTGACTTTGCATCTACATAGCACAAATTACGGTTGGTCGTTAAGGACGAAGTCGGATTCTACTGTATTTAACTCGTAACTCCATTGTGAGCTGAATTTTAAAATTTATAGAATAAGATAGTCTAAACATGCTGTTACTTTTTCTAATGGTAGAATTATGAGGTATGATGAAATTCAATAAAATCTGTAAAAACTAGTTTTTTTCTATGTGTAGTGTTTGCGTAAATGTAAGAAATCATTAGATTCAAAGTGATTAATTGAGTCAATATACGTAAAGAATGCTCACATACACAGCACATACGCAAACACTTTCTCTCTCTCATACACACTGTATGTGTGTGTGAGAGAGACATGCGCTGTATATTACAGAAAATATATAAAAATAAAGTACAGACAGTACAAGACAGTATTTGTGTAAAATTGCAAACTAAAAAAGTTTTGTCACAAATAAAATATCTTATAATAAATCTTTTTCACAAATAAAATATCCAGGTTTTTCAAGTTTTTCAAATACCCAATGTTTTCATAGTTTTTTTTTTTTCAGTTACTATATATGAAGTTTTTAATTTCAGAGATTATGAACGAGGTGATCCGCTATCGCGGACCAAAAGGCAAGAAGTCGCAACGCATAGAATGGCGGATCCTCATAGTGGACCAACTCTCAATGCGCATGGTTTCTGCATGCTGCAAAATGCACGACATCTCGGCAGAGGGAATTACTTGTAAGGGGAGAACATGTTTTAATACAATTTTTTTAAATACTAATTTTGTAATCAAAATCATTTTGCAGACTAGGTTTTTTGTTTCACTTATAATATGATAATTGAGCATGTATTTAACACGGCATCTGATATTTGAGCATCTATCATCATAAAATATTTTTCTCATGGCATCTTGAGTAACGACAAATTGCTCAGCCAATACATTTTATCAAGTCTTTCATCGGTAGAAGTTAAAAAACGATATAATATTTACGTACCAGATCAAACTCTGAAATCTGTCGTCGTAACATACAGTCTCAAAAATATTTTTATTACTTACGTCGTTTTTTTAAATTTACTAGTTTCAAAATGCGGTTCCTTTAAGGAGACTACAGGAGCTAAACGCAAGTTTTATAATGTCTTAACCGATTCAGTGCAGATGGCACGCCAGGCGTGCTATTGATTATTTTTCTGTGTGGCATATTAGTAACAAACAATAGCACTCACAAACTCAAGTTGTAAACACTTTCTGGAAAACATGTCTGCTATTAAAAAAAACAATGCGTTTGTCTTATTGTTTAATTTTGCTTAAAATGGTTGAAATGCCGTCTTATTACTATCATAATATGTCCGAATGGACCTACGAAGTACAAGTTTGTATAACATTAAATAATATATAACATTTGTAAATATCAATGAATCATAAACCTTATTTTTTCGGAATTAAGGTTCTTGATTGTTTGATATTTACAAACGTTATTATTAGGTTAAAATTTAATTTAATAAAAACAAAGGATTTTCAGTGTAACTTAGCTGTACCTACTTATATAAATGATTTCTTTTTATAAAACAAAAAATAGTTCAAAAAGTTTGTAATATCTACAAAAAAAAAGTCACTTACTCTCCATTTCAAGGAAAACACGTAGCTAGCCACTAAAAACAAGTAACCTTCCCTTTGCAACTGATGTTTGATGTCAACTAAACTGGCCTAAACAAGTGAAAAAAGTATAAAATGAACATTATTTTTACACATGGCTAATGGCACTATAGGCTTGTCGTTATAGTCTGAGAGCTGGCGACGAATTTTGGGAAGGTCCTTTGGGTAAGTTGAAATTGTGAAAAAATATAATTTCGTCAATTGGCGAATCCAGTCCCGTGAGTCTGGCAGAACACGTTTGCGGTTATTTCGTTCCTGCGCAGTATATAACATTTGCAAAAAAAATCCAAAAAAGTTTTTAGTGGCTACTTGATTTTTTTTATCTTTTAATTTAGTTTTTATATAATTCCAAAAAATAATCCCAGACGTTTTTATCGGTTATAAAGTATTATCAGACCTCTCCAAAAATATTTTTTTAAATTCCCAAAAAATATACTTTTGGCAATCTCGAATTTCAATCACGTATTTATTGAATAGTTTTTAATCATCATCATTATCATTACAGCATTTCATAAGTCCACTGCTGAACATAGGCCTCCCCCAAGGAATGCCACAAAGCACGGTCCTGAGCCACCTGCATCCATCGACTTCCTGCATGTCTTACCAGGTCGTCACTCCATCTAGTGGGGGGTCGCCCTACACTTCGCCTACCGGTACGAAGCTGCCACTCGAGAACCTTTCTTCCCCATCGGTTGTCGGTTCTTCGAGCTATATGGCCGGCCCACTGCCACTTCAGCTTACTAATCCATTGGGCTATGTCGGTTACTCTGGTTCTAGTGCGGATATCCTCATTTCTAAGTTTATCACGCAGAGAAACCCCGAGCATAGCCCTCTCGATAGCTCGCTGAGCGACCTTGAGCTTCCTCATACGGCCAGCAGTGAAGGACCACGTCTCAGATCCGTAAGTCATCACTGGCGACACGTACTGGTTGTACAATTTCGTTTTAAGGTTTTGAGGTATGTTTGAAGAGAAGATGTGTCGTAGTTTCCCGAATGCTGCCCAGCCGAGTTGAATCCGTCGATTGACCTCTCGGTCGAAGTTGGACTTACCTAGTCACACTATTTGTCCTAGGTAAACATACTCGTCAACAACTTTGAGCTTAGTGCTCCCAACAACTACCGACATAGGTGTGACATGGACATTAAACATGATCTTTGTTTTGTCCATGTTCATCTTAAGACGGATAGGCCGTTGGGAGACACATTTGAGGTGCTTAGTTCCTCCGGCGATTCTGCCATAAGGACTATATCGTCGGTAAATCGAAGGTGAGTGATGTACTCGCCATTGATGTTAATACCGTATCCTTTCCAGTCCAGAAGCTTGAAAACGTCTTCCAATGCAGCGGTGAAGAGTTTCGGGGATATAACGTCACCATGTCTTACACCTCTGCAATTGGATAGGTTTCGTACTCTGGTTCTGTACTCGGATAGCCATCGAGCCCAACTGTACAAGCACTTCAGCACTTCGATATACCGACAGTCAACTTGGCTCCGCCTGCAGCACCGCCCAAATTTCGACGGAATCAAAAGCTTTCTCATAGTCCACATACGCCAGGCATAGTGGCAAATTGTACTCCTCGGACTTCTGTACAACTTGCCGAAGGGTATTGTTACGAGCTTGGGGTTCGAAACAATTAAAAACTGCCGATTGAATTACCAAAATTGACACTTTAATTACACAACACTCATTACAATCTAAAATCACACTAATAATAAAACACAGTTCGCCGTTATTTCGCTTCGAAGTATTCTCTTGTATCGCCAATTCAATACTGCCTCGGTCGTGGTCTATACCGGCCTTATATAGGGCCTCAGATAGTTTCCAGAATCTTCTACTGTAGCGACATCTAGAATGTTCGAGTACATATCGGTCCCGAAATTTCTGGAAGGATCTTGACTCTCCTAGTTCTGCTACTCGACACTAGAGGGCGCTGGTGTACCTAGTGTTGCCATGTACAAGACATTAATAGTGGCACGCAATACTTTCATTTACTCGACACTAGGGGGCGCTAGTGTAACTAGTGTTGCCATGTACAAGACATTAATAGTGGCGCGCAACACTGCCCCCTCCTAAGACATGCTCGTCCCGAGCATTATTGGCCCCATAATAACGCGCCAGTCGATCTACATGGACAATCTTAGGAGTACCTCTGGCACCTTTCTGTATCCGGTAGGTTACGTCATTGATCCTTGTCACAATCCGGTACGGTCCGTCCCATTTAGCTTGAAGCTTAGGAGATTTCCCTTTGCTGCGAACTGGATTGTGTAACCACACTAGAGAACCTTCATCAAACCCCTTGTTGTTTATTTTGCGGTCATACCGTGTTTTCATCTTCTCAGACGTTTGCTGGCCCGTCTGTCTGACGTGCTCATAAATGTCATTCATTTTGTTCCGCAAGTCATTTGCATAATCGGTTATACTGCGTGGGGCATCTGGTGGTATTCCGGTGATCAGGTCTGCAGGCAGCCGTAATTCTCTCCCAAAGTTTGCGAAAGCTGGCGTCAATGATGTACTTTCGTGAACAGCGCTTCGATATGACAACAAAAACGGTTGTATGTGCCTGTCCCAGTCTCGTTGCCGTTTTTCCACAACTTTTGCCAGGTACCTTTCCAATGTCTGATTAAATCGTTCTACCATTCCATCAGATTGTGGGTGGTAAGAAGTTGTTCGTGTTTTATGAGTACCCATAACTCTGCAAGTTTCCTGGAATATTTGAGACTCGAAATTCCTTCCTTGATCGCTGTGAATCTCTAAGGGTACTCCAAAACGACAGAAGACTTCATGAACTAGTTTATCTGCAACTGTTGAAGCTTCTTGATTTGGAATGGCGAAGACTTCTGGCCACTTAGTGAAGTAATCCATCACAACCATGAAATACTTGTTACCACTTTCACTTTCCGGAAACGGCCCCGCAACGTCAATGGCTATCCTCTCCCATGGTGCACCAACATTGTACAATTTCAATGCGCCTCTACTACGAATTTGAGGTCCCTTTACAGCCGCACAACTTGTACATTTGCGGCACCAGTCCTCGAGATCGTCACGACAGTGGACCCAGTAAAACCGTTCTCGGATCTTCAGGAGAGTTCGTTTAACTCCCAGGAGGCCTCCTGAAGAACTACTATGGTACAGTTGTAGAACATCCGGTACTTTAGCCTTAGGGACAACCATTTGCAAATGACATCTGTCTCCCCGACCATTTTCCCATTTACAGCACAGGACTCCATCCTGAATCAGCAAGCTGTCCCATTGAGTCCAATAGCTTTTCGTGGTCGAACTCATTGCTGAGACGTCGCTCCACTTGGGCTTAGGAGCACTGGCCTTCATCCATTCCAGAATCGGCTTAATGTCCGAATCTTCCTGCTGTGCATGTTGTAGGCTGTCCTTCCACTCATTGCTGAGCTGGTCTGTCCTGAGCATTCTCACAGAAACCACTTCCTTACCCTCTTGCCTAGTACAATGCTTGCAATCTTCAGGGCAAGGTCTTCTTGACAATGCATCTGCATTGCCATGAGATTTCCCGCTGTGATGTTCGATCACAAAGTCGTATTCCTGCAGTAGTTCAATCCATCTCGCAACTTGTCCTTCCGGATTTTTGAACTGCAATAGCCATTTGAGTGCAGCATGGTCAGTTCGTAAGTGGAATTTCCGCCCTAGAAGATATTTGCTAAAATGCTGCAAGGACTTTACCACAGCAAGCAATTCCCGTCTTGTGACACAATAGTTCCTTTCCGGCTTTGACAACGACTTGCTGAAGTACGCTATCACAATCTCTTGATCACCATTCCGTTGAGACAACACACCGCCAAGTCCTATATCACTTGCGTCTGTGTCAACTATGTATTCCTTGCCCGCATCAGGGTACCCCAAAATAGGTGTTTTGCACAGACTGTTCTTGAGCTCCTGGAATGCAATATCGCAACTTTCATCCCAGCAGAATTGTCGCTTCTCCTCGGTTAGCTTGTGCAGAGGTTTGGCTATATCTGCAATGTTCTTCACAAATCGCCGATAATAAGAGCACAAACCCAAAAATGCTCTAACCTATGTCTTGTCTTTTGGAACCGGCCACTCCTTGACAGCGGC